CTTAGGTGATTTTTGTAAACAAGGTGTTTGTTGAAATGCCACAGTGAGTTTACTTATGTTGATTTTGCTTTTTTTGGTTTTATGAATGATATGTTTTCTAACATAAAGCAGAAACTGTTAATTAAGCTTACTGGAAAGATCTTGTTGCCCTTTTAACCCTCCCAAATATCAACTTTTAATATTTGTTAATTTGCAGGTTTGCTACTATCTTTGGGTGGCTTCCTTGTTTTTCATCCGAATTGGGGACAAGGTATGCATTGCATTTATAATTTCAAGCTTAAACAATTCTTTACTTCCTTGGCAGTGCCTAAGGTGGTACCTGTTATTTTCAGGGTTAACCTGTGCATAGGTGGTTATCAATGCATATATTTGCCTAATTGCGAATTCTCGAACCAGAATCACTGTTTTAGAATAGAACAATTGCAATAAGTTTGATTTGTTTATATGATTCATTGTATGCATCTAATGTAAACACATCAAAGTTTAAGTGGTGGTATTTGTTGGATTAAACAGAAAACAACATTAATTTACTATGAAACTATTTGCATAATCTTATTACTAACAATTACTATTCTGGTTAAATAGGTATTTATAATTCCATTCCATGGAGATTCTGAATAACTACATGGCATCATAGACTATATATTGAGTACAACATGGCCTATAACCCGTGACATTACAGTAATTCTACTCATAAGTTCAGATCCTGGTTGATTCATGTCTGGAAGGACAATTTTCTGATAATGATGGAACTGAGATTGGCTCATTATTACGATGCAGATGACATCCTAACAGGTACCTACTCTCCATAGTTTTCTGGCGTAGGTAATCAAAGTTTTCCTCAAAATCGATGGGGAAATAATTGCTAAACCTATTAAATAAATCTTAAATTTGTAGCTTTATAAATTAATTAATAAACTGTTGGATATCTTCTAATCTATTTAATTGTGGAAAAGGTTATAATATAGTTTACTTAGTTTAGAATATAATATGGTTTATTTTGCTTAGGATATTTCCATAAATTTAGAATATAATAGCATTAGTACATTAGCTTTTCTATTATAACACGTTAGTCTTAATTGAAAAATATATATACAGCAGCTTTTAGCTTTGGTTAGATACATATTTAGCTTTAGTTTAATAAACATAGTAGCTTTAGTTAGATTTGTCAGTAGGTTAGTTAGAAATATACCATTGCTTCAACATTCAGTTGGTGAAAAATAATAATATTTCACAATTTGTTGTGAAAACCGGTGAATTCTTTTGGTCACATGGACTGATATCAGATTCAACTTACAATATGTTCACTAGAGTGTGTAATTACTCTCGCTATGTTAGCGAGTACAATAGAGATTCAGTTTCATCTGCAAGAATGTTGGCTCCATTATTTAATAGGACAGAAGTCACTCAATTGCTTATTTAATTAAGTATTAACAGGACAGAAAAAATCCTTTGTTATTAGATATATGATCTGTTCTATGCATGCCATATGGTCTGCAGTTGCATTGAAATATTTCATGTAACCAAATCTGCTTATAGCAACCAGCTGCTGCTAAACAGATTCTGGTCCTGTTCTATGTCTTCTTATAACAACGAGAGACTTGGTCACATACTCGGATTTTCTATCTATTTGACCTTTGTTAGATAGATAGATATGGTAAGTTTACACTCATTATTGTTTCTTTGGGGTTTTCTGGTTTGAAGCATTTGGCATTACATCACATTATATGGAAGAACTTGGCTAAATAATAATCTTACTTGCAGGCCTACAGAGCTCTTATGAAGGCATTTACAGAGCACAATAAGGTATATATTTCACATTGCGTTATAAGATTTCACCTTGTTCTGATAACTGTACCATATGTTTTTACAATTTTAGTGGTATCATTTCAATTTGGAAATCTTCCGTACGGTTTCCGTGCAAACACATGGGTAGTGTCGTAAAGAATACAATACTAATAGCAAGACGTTAATATTAGTAATAATTTGATAAAGCATAAATGGTTAAACGTAATCGCATGGATAGTGTCGTGTCAGTGCTGCATAGCATATGGTATATAACTTTATTATGTAATTTTTAATATGTATTTTCTAATATGAAGTTGTTTCTAAGGTTTTGTAAGTGACTAAATAATCATTTGAGTTTTTGAATATGTTAGGTGGTGTTATTATAACTTTTCAATGTATCTAAATTACAAAATCATCTCTGAATGTGTTTATTACTAGTTAGCGTAGTTCTCAAATGTGTCTTTTATTAGTTAGGTTTGATCTCACATGTGTCTTTTGTTTGTTAGTTTGGTATGAATTTACTAATAGACGACACACACAAGTATATTTTTCAAGTTCTGATGCATTCAGATGCTACCGTGACACAACTTTACACATTTAGAGACCAAAATAACCATTTAAAGACTAGTAGAGGTTTATATCTATTTTTCTTTCAATAGTGTGTTTGCTTGGTATGTTGCTTCCAACAGAGCAATGAGAGTCCAAATGGTATGGACAGTGATTGGTTTTAAATGCTAAAAAAAGTTAAGTTTGACTTAAAACACTGTTAGTTTTTGGTTTTAAATGCTAGTTTATGAATTATACTTTTACAGGGGAACTATCTTGTTGACATTGTATTTGGTGGTACGGACAGCGTACAACTGAAAGGACCCAAGATTACAGCTGAACATAAGTTAAATAAGTAATACTTTCTACTGTATTAATAGCTGTATTTTTTTTTGTAAAAGCATTAGCAATATATGTGTAAACTTGTCTTTTATTTGTCATGCAGATTTTGAAACCAACTTTTACAATCATAGTTGAACACAAGATGAAGTGTCTTTTATTGTTTATTCGTGGCACACATAGTATCAAGGATACTCTAACAGCTACTACAGAAATTGTGGTACCATTTCATCACACTGTAGTTCATAGGGGGAGTTAGTGACTTGGTTTTAGGATATGCACATGTGGAATGGTTGCTATTGCACGTTGGATTGCAAAGCTTGCAACTCATTGTCTCCTTGATGCACTTGGCCAATACCCAGATTATGAAGTTAAGGTAAAAATGTTTGTCTTTATAACATCCCTGACTCTTTGACTAAGTAATCCCTTTAACAAGTTTCCCTGTTATACCATGATAGAAATTTGCTTAAAATATTCTTATCAAGCATTTATAAGTAGTATGCCTTTTGTCAACACTAAAGTAGCTAAGAATAGGAAGCTTCTGGAACAGTCTGAGCTTGAGTTGGAAGAATGTGAAGCGCTGAAGAAGGAACTGACTGAGAAGCTGAAAGCAGTATGTGAGAAAGAGACTCTTAGCAAAGAGAATCTGGCCAGAGCAAAGGATGAGTCTGCCGCGACATCTCGAATAATCGGGTTTGCCATAGCTAAAGTCGGTCGCTTTCTTAATTGCTCAATGGTCGATGCTTTGATTGAGCTATCCAATTTCAGTTTTCTGTTTTCTTCTGTGTAATGGTTTTAAGATTTCTTTCTGTGTCTGTTATGGTTGCATGTGTAACATTATAGCCAACCATTCAGAATGTTCATATGAATGTGCCTTGTAGATTTGATTCTATGGTTACTTAAGGTTGAAGTAAAAACAGTGTTATGCTTTATTGGGAATTGATTTATTCTCTTACTAATAATAGTATCAACAAGTTCATCTCAAAAGTTTTACTCATTATGTCCACCATTTGATTATTTGTCAAATTGTTGCTTTGTTTTAAATCACTAGTTGGATATGACCATCGTTCCTTACACATAATGTATTCAAGTGTTATAGGACATAAACCAAAGGAGCCTATTATAAACTCAACTTTTGGGAATAATATTACTAACATATTTGTACACTTATGTAAATATTCTTTTAGAGAAAAAAAATACATTAACTTTTTTATGAATCAGTTATTTCTATAATAAAAAATAATAAGAAATTAAATTAGATTTTTATTTTTATATTATTGTTACTTTGATATTTAACAATTATTATAATATTTTAAATATGCATTAAACACAATTTAATGATAAAAATCAAACACCTGAGAGATAATTACTTGCGATTTTACCTGCGACTTTTGTATTTGCTGCGACTTTTCCTGCGAAGATTTCAATTACCAGCGGTGTTATCTGCGAATTTATCTACTTTACCTGCGACTTTTACCTGAGACACTTTCCTGCGACATTTTTCTGCGACTTTATCTACTAATTAAATTACCCACGAAGGTTTTAGCTGGGAACATAAAATAACAGGAAAAGTCGCAGGTAATACATTTCCTGCGAAAAATTTGTCGAAATCCGCAGGTAAAAGCGCAGGAAAGCAGAGTATTTCTAGTAGTGTAATTCATTGTTTCACCGTCCTTGTCATTTTTGTACTGGCAAATTGTGTGAAATTTATGAAAATGGCTTAGGTTAGTTGTATGACTAATTGAATATGTATTGGCCAATAATAATGGTTTGACAACTTACTACATTAAATGAATTGGTTTGATTTTTATATTTATTATAAGATAGAAAATGAGTTTTTCTAAGGTAACCAGTTTTTATATTTATTATATTATTTTGATTTGTATGGACAATACATTATGTAAAACTGAAGTGCAAGAAAAACATGAAAAATAATAGAGTTAAAGGTGGAAGTGGGGAAAAGCTTAATGAGAAAGTGTAATATATGTATCAGCAAATTTGGTTAGACTTATTTATCAACTATTTCAAACTTATCATATTATGTAACCCAAAATTATAGAAAATGGATCCATAATAAAATATTAGTGTTTGAATTCTTTAACCAATTTAATGCATTACATTTTATTTATTGAAAGTATTTAGAACACAAACAAATTCCGAAATGAGAAAATTCGCTGAGTACCAATAAATGATGTTCCTTCTGCAAAGACTATTACAATAATCAAATCCGAACACATAATAATAAACTCATAATACATTCTAAGTTTCCGACATCTGATCAAAGAAAGATAAAGTGAAAACTAATTCATGGGACTAAGGTATTTTGT